CATTTATATGAACTGTCCAAAACAGATCCATAGGGACAGAAAGTCGATTACTGGTTGCCTAGAGCTGCAGAGGTTGGGGGTAATGGAGAGTGACTGCTAATAGTTTCTTATCTGGGGTGATGAAAATGTCCTAAAACTGACTTGGTGATGGGTGCACAACCCTGTGAACTTTACACTGAACTGTACAATTTAAATTGGTGAATTGTAGGCAGTGAATTTTATCTCAATAAAGCTGCTAAAATTTTTAAAAATACACTTGAGATTACAGGGAGAAAAAGGCAGTGGGCTCTGTTGGTTTGGTGAATGTTGCCCTGGCAGCCCACCAGCCGCCTGACGTGCCCTGACCACTAACTCCTACTCTGACTCTCCCCAGCAGAGCACTGATACGCTTCTCCATTCCAGATCCTGGATTTCCCAGGAAAGGAATGAGCAGATCACAGAGAAGACTGACAGCAACAGAATGGGAAGGGACCTCAACTAATTCAGCCCTCTACTGCTGGCTATGGTATTTATTTAAATCATTTAAAAGAAAGTGGGAGTTCTGATTCTGACCAAGATGGAGACAGCCCACTACTGCCTCTGTCTTCTGCTGCCAACAACCAAAACCTCTGCACAAAACGCCAACAGCAAATACCTGAGGACTCCGGAGAGTTACTCAACATGGTGGGCTGTGGAGGAAGAGGCCACATGGGGCAAGGCTTCCCATTTCCCCCCAAAGACTTGCCCTGAGTGCGAGCTCCAACAGCAGAGCCGTGTGGTGGTACAGGACTTGACGGGGCGAACCTTCAGCAGAAACTCCATCTTCCTCAAGAACCAAGGAAAGGGTCCCTGCCCAAAGAATGTGTGCAGGGGGTCTCTGTGGGGTTTCCCCCTCTTTCTCTGTGCCTTTGCCCCAAAGGAGGTCCCTAGTCACAGAGCCACACGGTGGAAGTGATGCAGGCAGGTAAAACTCTGAGAGAAACCCATGTTCAGGTCAGAGGCCCAGGGAAAGGAGCCTCTGAAGGCTGGAAAGCATAGGGATGAAGAGAAGAGGAAACTGGAGAAGGCAAGCCCATCATACAGTGTATGACTGCACACAGATCCCAGGCTCATGTCTCAGCTGCGCAGGACAGATACAAGCAGTACAGCGAAGGCTCTGAGAAGACAGGTGAAACGGAAGAAACCGCTGCCACCTCAGACCAACCTGTGAGTGGCCCGTGTGCAGGACAGGGCTGGAGAAGCAAACGAAGGCTCTGGAAGTTGACCTGACACTGGAATCACCACCCACAGAAGGCAAGACAGCACTGCAGTCGGAACCTGACCAGGTGACGGCCAGCTTAAAGAAAATCTCAACGTTCTCCAGACGATTGTGTAGTGGGACCCAAAGTGGACACACCATAACATTCAAAATGTGTGGGATATGACCCCAAATTACTTGACATTACCCCCTCTCCCCCAAAAAACAGGAAAATCTGACCCATTCTCAAGGGAAAAAACAATGAACAGGTATCAACCCTAAAATAACCCAGATTTTTGGAATTATCAACGACTTTAAAGCAGCGATTATAACTGTATTTCAAGAGGTAAAGATAAAATGATAAGCAAAGAATGACACTCTAAGCAGAGAAACAGAAACTATGAAAAAGAACTCAATGGAAATTTTGAACCAAAAATTACAAAATCTGAAATGAAGAATTCACTGGATGGGCTCAACAGAAATTATGCAATTTGAAGAATAGAAACAATTAGGAAAGAAAATGATCAGAGCTTCAATGACTGGGGAACAATATCAAAGGGTCTGACACTGACATCACCGGAGTCCCAGAAGGAAAGGAGAAAGGGATTAGTGCAGAAAAAATATTTGAAGAAATAATGGCCGAAAACTTCCTACATTTTGTGGAAAACATAAATTTACAGATTCTAAATGCTCAGTGAACTCCAAACAGAGGTGAAACTAAAGAAGAAACAAAGTGATCTATTTCCTGCAGACTTTCTCTTCGTAACCCATTCAAGCTTCTGCTAAATGTTCTAATTCCTAAGCTATTTGTTTTTGCCTTCATTAAACAAATACATACTTTCATTTAATTGAAAACACCACTAATCGTAAGAAGCACCATTACTTTACGTAACATTTTAAAGTGCTGCCAATTAATTTTAAGATGCCATTGTAAAGGACACATCCTGATTTCACATATATGAAAATGTAAAAAGAAAGAAAGAAAAGAAAACTGCATGTTAAAATAAAGACAGAGCATAGTGCTGAGCACTCAGCGAGCACTGGGCAGGTACTGAGGCAAGGAGAGCAGACGCACACAGCCAGTCCTACCCTGATGCACACCACTCCCCCTCCGACACCACTCGCTGCTATTTCTTCTTGGTTCAACGGGAAAAGACAGAGCACGCGTTTAGAAAAACTCACTGATCTAGTGTTAAACTCTTGTGCAGCGCCACCCCCACCCCACGCCCTGCACTGTACAGCCCTTCCCACCCAGCAAGGGAAAGCACAAACCAACAATAACTCGGTCTCTACCCTAATCATTCTCTTAATATTCATCAGACTCTATTTATCCTCTGTTTTTTCTGGAAAAGGCGACAGGCTAGGTGAGCTATTTTTTCATTTTTAATTCCAGCCTATTTTCCCCCACTCCCCCCCAACAAAATTCCTTGCAAAATTCCACCCATGTTTGCAAACTAACTCAAACTGATTTCCTTACTTCAATAAAAATTTACTTTATTTTTGTCTTAACCTTGCACATTTTTATTTATCTTTAGAGTCCATTTAATTCTCAAATTATTTATAAAGTACTAAGAGAATGTAGTGGAAATCCAGGCTTTTAAATAAAAAAAGGAAGTTCCAGGGTTTCTTAATTGCATCAGCCATTAAGTGACAGCCAAGGACATAATTCCCTTCATAGTATTTGGCCCCTTACTCCCACTTTTGAAATAAAACGTAAGCTGTACGAGCTGGGGTGTGCATCTCGAACAAGATCCTACTCAGAGCTATTAAGGCCTTTGGGGAAAAACCACCAGACTCCCCCTCTGCTACATTTAAAAGTCTAGATTCCTCATTCCTTCCTTTTCCAGAGATACAATTTAACCCCTGTGTTTCAAATTCATATTGCTAACACTGCTATTCTGATTCATAAGGAACAATCTTCTATGTGACGGCGAGCCCCTGACATACCAGCAGTGGTCAAACGGCCAGCACACAGATCGAGGAGTGCCCTGATCAAAGGCCACTTTGGATAGCCCCTCCCCAACTCCAAGTCACTAGTCTCTTCTTTTCATCCATTGAGACAGAGGGTTTAAAAAAACATAACATTAGTTTACTAATAAAATGGACTTAACACGGTTAAATCTAGACTTCAAAATGACCAGAGAGCCCTCTTACACTGAGAATTTAGCTCCTCTTCCAGCAAAGGGGATGGAAGCAGGCAGCCCTGCTCCAGAGGAAAAAGTCAGCTTTACTGGCTATAGAGCTCTTCTAACTGACGGTACGATGTTCGGCTGACAGTGGTCATGACAATCTGGCTTTAACTGTGCTTCCAGAGCTAACCGAACTAAGTTAGGCAGAAAACTGAGGTCTCTTCTCTTGAACACCATGGTTTCCTGTGAACCGAGCTATAGCTGAACACGTAAATTCTCATGCTGTAAACAAACTCTGAAGCATAACCTACAATCCCAAACTCTTCCATTTGGATGCCCCAAAAAGCCCTCTGCATTTGCTCTCCTGGAAAGCGAGTAGCCGCTAGGTCCCTGTGGGGAGATCCTATCCCATAAGCTTGGAGGCTCTGTACAGCTCAGTCTAGAAACGAAAATGTGCAAGTAAAACTACAAACCGATTTGTTGCATTTGCTGTGCCACATGTGGGGCTACTTATCAGCCTAGTTGTTTTAAAGAGAAAAACTGCCTGGACATACACTGGGGAGTTCAATTCTCAAGCACTGGAAATATCAGCCATTTTAGGAGACCTTGAGAAAAAATGATCGAGTATTTCCTTTCAATAAAGCGTACTCACTAAAGGAAGGAGGCAGTAGAGGGGTGAAGGTCAGGAGCTGGAAATCTTATTTGACAAAATCATTATTTTTGCAAGCTGCTGCCCTGATGCCACGGAGGTCTGGGATTTGGCATGAAGGAGTACCCGCCTCACAATCTGACCCCCCCACCAAACAGCCGGCCACCTGCAGCCCAGGGCCGGGCCCGGGGGAGGGGGCGCCGCAGACCCTGGCCTCCAGCCATGCTACCTCTCTCCAGGGCACTGGATCAGACACGGCAGATAACCAGCCAAAAAAAGAAAGAAAGAAAGAAAAAGGAAAAAACAGGGGGAGAGGGCGCAGGGAGGGAAAAAACCTAAAATTTGGACTCAGAGGGTCTTTTCAAACACTTTTAATCCTTTCACGCTGATGGCTCCTGGAGCGTCCGTGGCTGGCACTGGACCCTGTACGGGGAAAATCCGACTCCCTAAGCCAGTGCGTTAAAGAGAAGACTGCTAATCAGCTAAATAGAAACTGGAATCTGTTCACGTGAAGTCTCTTTTTTCCCCCATCACCAGAGGGATGCCATAGTGTTCTGAAATACACTCTTGACATCATTTGGCAGGCAACCCTATTTTGTTGAACATGATTCATCCCTTAGGTTATTGTTTTTAATATTAGAAAGTGAGCTTTTAAATGCCAAACAAATTTTGCAGCAGGGGGACAACAGATATTCTGAGTGGTCTCACTGGACCTTCCACCAACTGCGTCCACCAAATGGCTTAAAAGACAACCTTCCCATAGTGTTTCAGAAACGAGGCAGAGACACAGCTCTATCCAACTATTACCTAATACAAGACTTTGTTCTCCAAGTTCACAGAGACGGTATTTACGGGATCAGGGCTGAACTCAGGTGGGCAAAGCTGGAGAGTGAGAACTGAGGAGTGTGAGCAGTAGAGGAGATGAGTGAGCGCAGCGGAGGCTGAGGGGCAAGGCCTCAACGGAAGCTGCTGTGGCTACAAAATGCTGCTTTGTACTCAGACATACCTCCTGTCCATGTTGCCACTGACCATGAGATTGGGAGGGCTGTCCCGCAGGTTGACGCAAGTGAAGTCACCAAGTGCATTGCCCAGCTTCGAAAGGCAGCGTTCTGCTTCCAGGCTGTACACCAGGATCTGGTGGAGGAAGAAAAAGACATGGGTGCACAGTACATACAGCAGACCTAACGCAACACTTCTCACTTCAGCACCGTCCAGGGCATTGAGCACGACAACTCAGCTCCTGCTAAGGAAGGTGTTCTGCCGCTTAACACCCTGACCTTCTCCAGGTAATGACAGTAAAGGGATATGGCTATTAAAATGACAAATGGAAGTACAAAAGAACATAAAGAAAAATTCAAAGAGTTTCTCAGGTCAAGGTGCAAACAAACTCATAGGGCACAAAGAAAAATGCCGAATGGGGAAATTAGGTATCCCAGTTTTCTAAGAGGAAAAGAGGCACGGCAACTACCGAAGGGTCACTGACTGCTCTGCTCCAGAATGAATGGGGATGCTCAGGAGAGACAGGAACGAGCAGATGAGCCAGCAGGCCTTCTCTCTCTTATTCCCCTAGTTATTTGGACCATAGAAGGTAAAAGAAAGAACAGGACGAGCACCCAAGGAGAGGAAGCTTGCAAAGGTACCACCAGACAATTCCTTCAGATGAAACTACAAACCAAACACCCTGTCTTAGTCCCAAACATTTCTCTCTTGAGTCCTCTCCACTCGCTAACTTTAGGAAGCTCTGTACATACGCTGTGGAGGCAAACAAGGTGCCCTTGATCTCCAGATGACACATTCGTTACATCTCAACACTTCCGTGCCTTCCCTCCAGCAAAAAGAAAAAAAGGCTCTTACTAAAAAAATCTCAGTAATTGAATTTAACTTAATTCGATTAACATTAAATGCTTGCTATGGGTCAGTTACTGTTGTAGGTACTGAGGACACAGTCCTTGCCCCAAAATTCTCAGTTCAAAAACCTCCTCATTAACACATACACACTTCTGAGTATGCATTCTATTTTGTTGATCATGTGGTTAAAATTAATCACTGAACTCAAAAATCTCAATATCAGTATTTTGTAGAGAAATTCTCCTTTCTTACTTAGCACATGCATGAAAATGGTGTGCTTTCTTTTTCTTGCTAACCCATACATTTATCACTTATCAGTATACAGATTCTTTTTTTTTCCTTAAAGATTGGCACCTGAGCTAACAACTGTTGCCAATCTTCTTTTTTCTGCTTTTTCTCCCCAAATCCCCCCAGTACATAGTTGCATATTTTAGTTGTAGGCCCTTCTATTTGTGGCACGTGGGACGCTGCCTCAGTGTGGCCTGATGAGCAGTGCCATGTCCGCGTCCAGGATCCGAACCGGTGAAAACCTGGGCCGCCGAAGCAAAGCGCATGAACTCAACCACTGGGCCATGGGGACGGCCCCTACAGATTCTTATTTTAGTAGTGAGAAGTTAGTAAATTTTTTCCGCCATAAAAACCATCCATCTCATTGTCAACACACCTTTCTAACGAGTGAATCTTTGTTAATTCCTAACAGTCAAAACAACACTATAATATTAACTATTGCCAACAGCATCTGAAAGGAAAGAGGGCAATTTCAAACTTAAAAATGGCTTCTTAGTCCATAAACACTATTTTATTTTTACTTTCATGCAGTTAAAAATTAAAGTTTCTGACTGAGAAAATTTCAAACATTCTAAAATATCCAAAATAAGATTACTCTTCCAAGTAAGAGCATAGAAATAAGTCTTCAATCTACAGTGAATAACCTAAAAAGTACATAAAATCAGCTCCTGAAAGGAGAAAAAAAAGTAATAACAGCAACCTCATGGTCTATTATAAAAGTAGTATCTTGCACTTCTGTATCACTAGAGAGCTTTCAACAGGTTTCTTGGACTCAGTATTTTCTCGTTTTTAAAATACTTCAACTTCTATAGCAGGAGCAGGCCTTTAAAATGTAAACTGTCCATAGGTAAATACAAGAATTCAACTCTGATACTGAGTCAGTTCGTAGGTCTTCACTTTTTCTAGAAGTTCTTTATTGACAAGGAGATGGATCATCTCTGAGGGATATAGTGAGATCTAATCCCTCTCCAAAAAGACTCTCAAATTCATCATAAAGACATCGAGTTAGTAGTCGAGAGTCAAGTATTTTCTAAAATGTTTAATAATTCAACGAATCAGAACCATCTGAAGAGCACCTTTACCGTTACGTTTAGTTAAAGACCACAGAGATTAGAAAACACATTACCCAGCTCAAAGGCGAGTCTTTCCACGTTACAAGTCCCTTAACGACCTTTACCATTCCTCCCTCCCTCCCGCACTCTCTCTCTTTTAATAAGGTTGAGCAAATGGGACTTCATTTTATCTGATTGCCACAGACTAGTGAGATTAATTATTCATGCTCACACTCTCCCTCTTGTTAAGACCATGCATTAGACTAATTTTTCTCTTTATTGCCCTAGTTGGGTGAGTCTCAACCCATGGCCACTTGACTCACTCTCAGAGATGTATGGATAGGCTGCAAAGAAGGAAAAAACTACCCATAGCTAAAATCTTGGAGAGAATGTTCTGCACTAATGTGACTGCCAAATCAATAGATGTTGCTGTGATTTTTTCTTTTAAATACCACATGTATGTTACAAAAGACCTTAAATAGTGACTACAGGGAAAATTTTTATAGGAGTCAGATGTTTCCTTAAGAATCATCTAAAATGGCTAAACCATGTTAAGACTGGTGGATATTTTGCAAAGATCACTACAGGAGACGCAGCATGTAGTCACAGTACACGGGGTGGCTATCCTTTCTTTCTGGCTTCCAGGTAGGTCTAGAGGGGCAGTAGGTGGAAGCAAGCATTGTCTTTAAAAAGAACTTTTGCAGAAAGTTCTCGGTTTTTCCTTCTTACAGATCTTAAAGTATTTCCATAAATCCTAGTCTTAGAACTTTAACTTTCAATTTGGTTGATTATTCAGATTTCTCTGAAATCTATTTCTAAAAAAATCTTTTTTCTAATTTCAAACATAATACATCTTGCAACAAATTCTAACATAATTACATAACAAAAAGTGGTAGCCTTGTGTATAACTCTCTCTGAAATGACCACTTGAACAGCTGGGGCATATACTGCTGGACGACTTCTAGACAAGTCTGTTTGGTCTGTTTCTCTCTGTATGTGTGCGTGTGTATAAAATTTTCCTTTGCTCTGAATGGGATTATTGTTCTAGAACTTGTTTTTTCTATGAAATAACATGAGAGTGCTTTCCTTGTTAGTCACCATAGATAGATCTTGTTTTTTGTAATGGCTACATAGAGTTTTTCTATGGATATATAATTCCATATTGATGGATATTCGGGTCGTTTCTAATTTTTTAGACAAAATAAATAATGCTATAATGCATTCAACAGTCAGTCAAATACGCATTCCTCATCTTGCCTGCAGCAGGCACTGGGATGAACAGGGACGGCGGGTGATGTGCAGAAGTGCAGCCTGCTGCCAGCTCAAACACTCCACCTCTTCGCCAGCTGGTGCACAGCCACCAGCTGTCCTGTTCCTCCGTACATGGTACTCGCCTCTCTGAGGAGACCCACCTTAGAGCCGCGTCCCAGCAGCGAGTGGTGTAACGGCAGGGGCCGCAGTGTAGTCAGGAAGCGGGCAGTGGCACAGCCCAACATCTGGGAAGCATCAGCAAGTGCCCTGGTGCAGGCAGGCCCTGCACCTCCCAGGTGTGGCTGGACCATTTAGTGTTTCCAGGACTGGCTTTCCAACCAAACCACGAAGGAAAGAGCTGAGAAAAGGCTACTGTCCCTGCAATGGAGGGAGTGCAAGGCAGGCCGACTTCCTCCTTCACTCAGGGAGAACTGGATTTGGCACTGCAAACGTTTTCTAAACCTGGAACCGATATTACCCTCATAAGTAAATAGGAACCACATGCATACAGAACTCACTATGAAGAGATTACAGAGCGTTGCAACCCGGGCTTTTGGTCATGTACTGCCGGACGAGGCGAGGAACTCCCTTTGTGTGTCCTTTGATTAAGTTTACCCAAACAGTGAGTCTTCATGCTCCGATTTCTGCCAAAGGCATCACACCACCACCAAGGTCAACCCGAGCAGCTGGCTCACCTCCTCAGAACCCCAGCACCGCCTCTCCAAGGGGTGAGGAGTGGCCGCAGGCTTCCCCACAAGACTATAGGATTGAAAGAGGCTCTGCGGATTAGAGATGATCTGTCACCATTTTAAAAAGAGAAGTGACAAAGAGAGCAAAAGTTAGGAGATGCTGTGGTAGACTGAGGCAGAGTAAAAGATAAAAGGCATGGGAGGAAGATTTGCTTGAAATTCTTGGAGACGACAAAGTCTATCTACTTCCTTTTCTGATCCCTAATGACTCACCCTCTATCACTACACATATATTTTGCCCTGCTGCCAGGGGAAAGTCGTGATAAGAAGCTGAACTCTAGAGAATAAAGCAAATAATCCTTATGCTCTCTCCTCCTCCATCCCAATTAAGCTTACTGTGCTCTCTTTGTGCTCTTAGCAGAGAGTTCACTCCCTCCTTTCAGTGCTGAAGGTGTTCACTGTCTACACACTTCATCTGGTGTTCCCAAGGTACAACTGTGAACCGTGCAGTAGCTCCCTCTGACTTTCTCCCAGACCCGTGGTTCTCAACCACTGAGGGGAGGAGAGTCACCAAGAGACTGTGATTTCAGCAGGTCAGCTGAGGCTCTGTTACCAAGTGCCACTCCCCATGTTGTAAAACACTGTCCTAGCCTCAGACTGTAAGTTCCTTGGGGCAGAAATGCTATCATTCACTCCTGCAGCCGTGACTAAGGGCCCAGTATGTGCCGGGCGCTCAGAAAGTGCAGGTAGACTGACTGACTGGTACACATTTGGCAAACCCAGAGCTTACCAGTCTGGCACATAATAAAGACTCAGATATCCCTTTTTTGGCTTAACACATTCCCCCATTTCTGGATGTCTAATCTTGCTGCTGGCTTGTACAAGGGAACCACTTCATCCTACTCAAAACAGAAGGAGGTCCCATAGATCTCTCTCCATAATAGCCAGATTCTAGAACCCCCAAACTGTATCCAGGCCTAAGGTTCCACCTTTGACAACACAGCAG